ATATTTGTATTATTTTATCATGTATCATTTTAATTATTTTAACATGTATCTGACAGGTCTTTTTTAGTTGCTATATTTAAGCTTTATATATAGTAAAATTGAAACTTGTATACAATTAAATGTTTTATTTATTTTTTTAAGAGTAGGAAAAATTTATTGAGAACAATGACTTCTGTCTAAGAAAGACAGAAGGGGGACTGGAAAGTGGGCTGCCCACCCACCCCACTTCTCAAAGATGTTTTATACAGCAAAGCCATGTGGTGAGGCTAGTACAAAGTGGGACAATACTATAAGACCCAATGGAAAATTACAAGGTTGGCATGAGGGGGGCAAAACCATGATCACCCAATAAGATTATAAGTACAGTCACCCCGGTAATATTGATTAAGTGTGGGTCAAAGCGGGGAGCAAATCACTTAGCAAGTGACAAGGATTTTCAGTGAGGGTGGGTCAGGGATATTTCCTGGAAAGGCTGGGCTCCCCGCCCAGCTGATTTATACCTACTTGGAATATCAATCACTGCTATTTATCCCCTGTGGAAGCACAAAGGTGTGGTTTCTCTCCTTTTACAATTCTGGCCTTCAGTGAATATGTCTTGATGGTCTTCCCTGTTGGCTCCTCCTGGGCTGGCCCTGTCTAACTGCCTACAAGATATCGAATTAACTTACCTATCTGCAATACTGGGAGACTCTGCTCAGCTGGCAGCTGAATTAGGGAGAAGGGAGTCCCTAACTCCAGAAGCCTGTGCCTCTGATGACCAGTGAGCCTGGACATATCGGGTGACACTTTCAGCAAGCCTCACAAGGCAAAGACAAAGCCTCCAAAAAGAAAAGAAAAAAAAAGTATCTAAAGGTCAGGAAGTACAAGTAGGAGTGGAATGCTGTCCTGGTAGGGTAGGGCAGCCCCAGTGGCCCCCGCACTCAGAGGCAGAGGTGCAAGGACGGCGTGAGCCAAGTTCAAGGTCAGCCTGGGCCACAGAGCAAGACAGTCTGAAAAAGGAAAAAAAAAGTGCCTTCCCTTGAGAAACTGCTTAACGGCACACATGGGCATCCCACAGAAGGCCTACACCCTACCTCTCCACACTTCAAATTGTCCTTTTAATTTGAAATTTATACACTGAAATCAGTGAAGGACTCACAACCCAGAAGGAAAATTAAAAATGGGCCAGGGACAGGTAATTCTCCAAATGGTCTATAAGAAAATGGAGAGATGATCCACATCAGCATCTGTTACAAAAATTGAAAACAAAGCGACAGAAAGTCTTGTTTTACCAATCAAGATTGTCCAAGATGGAGTGAGGTGGCAGGATTCAGGGCAGGGAAGAAGGTAGGAAATGGCATGCCCTTCACTGCTACTTGAACCTGCTCAAGCTGGATCTACATTTCCAGAGGGCATTTGGCAAGAGGCAGTCTGGCAGGCTGTCTTCTAGGAATCCATTCTGGCAAAATACTGGAAGCTGTTCCAAAGACACATCAAAGTGTCACAGCACTGGCTTGAAGACTGCTTGGGAACATGCTAGATATTAACAGTCCACACCACTGCTGGGTGGTGACACTATTGGCTATTAGATCAACACTGCGAGTCTTGCTAATGAATATTATTATAAGGAGAAAAAACTTTCTTATTAAAAAAAATTCACTGAGGCATTAAAATGTTTTAATGGGTTTCTTGACCCCGAGATTTTCCCCCAAGTTCCCCAGGCTAGTAAGACTAGATACTGTGAGCCAGGCGTAGTGGTGCATGCCTGTAATCCCTGCACTTGGGAGGCTGAGGCAGGAGGATCGCTGTGAATTTGAGACCAGCCTGGGATACATAGTTCCACGTCAGTCTCAATTACATAGTGAAACCCTGTCTCAAAAAACCAAAAAAAAAAAAAAAGACTAGATACTGAGTCCTTTTCTAGGAAGGCGTCTCTCTCTGTTATGCATCCTGTCAGATTCTAGCATTTAGAGCCAGGCAGAAATCCCTCTCAGCTGCCTGTTTTGAGCATGGGCACCAGCAAGCCCCCAGGGTGGGCCTGGCTCCCTCTTGCCCACAACAGCAGCCCTTGGAACACAAAAAGCCAGGCACAAACAAAACTAGCAAGATCTCTAAGTCACATGGTCAGGGAACAGCAAGAGAAACAACCCAACTTCTCCGCAGGGTCTGTTCCTAGAAGACTGTTCCCAAGTGCTTCCTGGGGGTTCTTCAGCTTCCTCCATCCTCCACGCCCCCCCCACCCCTGTGACTCTGTGCCAGTGGCACAGGATCCTTTGTCGGCCTCAAGGTCACCCCTTTAAGTGTGGGGTGAGGTTCTATTGAACTAAGGTGTGAAAAACTCAGCAAGCCCCATGCAGATGGAGGGAGGGACCCTGTTACCAGCACATTCAGCCTGGGCTCAACCATAGACTGAGCAAACTTGGACAAGGAAGGCGCCTCCGCCAGCTGCAGGACACCTACG